ATCTGCCGTGAACACAGTCGCTGTTAACCATTTCTAAATATTCTCATACGTAAGAACTAGAAACGGTAGCAATATATAATATTCTTGTCATAAATCTTGAAAAATATTATGTATAATAATATAATATAATTACCTGATAATTCTAAACTATATCTTAATTATATATATATATATATTAAACAAAAAGCATTATAAATCAATACAAAAAAATCTATTATTTCTCCTAAATCTCAAAAATTAAAAATACTTTTATATTTATAAATTAGCTTTATCTGTAATTGCAGTCAAGTGCATTATCATGAGTTTTGAACTCAGGTAGATGATCTCATAACATAGGTATTCAATCAATATCTATTTCGATAAGTTTATAATTTGATTCAATTGCTTTAAGATTGTGATGCTGTGTGACTTCTTCTATTCTATTAATTTAGAATAGGTAATACTACTACTAATAAATATCTTTCTTTGTATTTATTTAGTGTGATGATAGTTCTATAATAATATAGTATTGATATTTATAGCAATCTGGTTGAGTATTCAATAGTATATACAGTAAGTATTATAACAAAATTAATAATTATAAAATTAATTAATATACAATTTTCATTAAACAATAAATAAGAAGTGATTTATTGACTAACTAGATTTTTATATTGATTAATTGATATTTTTTTCAAAGCTTTAATTACACTTTATTTATAATAAATATTTTCTACTAGTAATTATTACATTTATAACTAATTATATAAAAATAATAATTTATAAAATTTGATTAATTAATATATATATAAAAACAATGAAAAATACAGAAATTATAGAATTTTTTATAGTTTTTAAAGTTTATAGAAATTATAGAATTATGAAAATTATAGAAATTATAGAAAATTTCCAATTGTAACAGCATAAATTTTTTTACAAGTACAAATACACATATAAAAATATCTTTATAAGCTTTTTTACCCACTTTATTCATCTTAATAATAAAAGAAATTTTCACTAGAATGATATCAAACATTGTTAAGAATTTCAATATAGAGAGGCTTATCAAATATTTAGTGAGAAAGAACTTGAAGCTCAAGAAGATTCACTTTAAAATTTTATATAAGAAAAAAATTATTGGTCTAGCCTTTCTCAAGTTAACTAAAGAGAACTTTCATAATATTGGCTTTGTATTAGATTCAGTAACAGTTCTTGTAGAATTTATTAAAAATCTCAGCCAGAAATTACAAAATTACTTTTTATTTAAAATTCTTAATAATCTAAAGGAAATGTTACATAGAAATAAAGTCAATGAAAAAAATATAATGAGCATCAAGCAGTTCATTTCTGGTAAGTGATTATTCTTATTTTTATTTTGCTTTGAAGTGAATCATCACGAATAATAACTTACTTTTCTTTCACAGTCTTCAAAAAAATTAATAATGATGATAAAGTATTCAATTACTGTATGAAGAATATAATTTTGAAACTTTTGAACATGAAAATCATGACTGATACTAACAAGATAATGCATTTCAGTAATATTACACGCATCAATTGTCATTACTAAAAAACTTACTTTTCAAGATATTTCAACCAGCTGAGTTAACTATGCAATTAAAGCTCTAGAAGATCTTTTATGTATTACCAAAAAGAAGTCTCATAATATTAAAATTGGATATATGCAGATAAGATTATTATTCAAATTTGTGTTTTAGAAGATTTAATCATATTAATACATTTATTTTTTAGAATTTGGTGTATATAATTATCATAAATCTAGTGTTTATAAAAGTGAAATGGCTATTTGTTTCGATTATTGAAAATTAATAAAAATCACTGAAGTAGAACCAAAAAAGATATACTTTAGCAGGTAATATAGATATGAATATCAGCTTAAATCTGAATATTTGATAAAGTAATATTGGAATCACTCATATTTTAAAGATAAATTGAGGATAAGTCATGTTTATTAACATCTCATCATTATGAAAAGCTATTGGAAAATTTATCTAGTGGAACTACGAATCTTTAACCCTCAATTTGCAAAAATAATACAGACAAATTATTTATTTTGTCTTGATATGCAAAACAAAATAACTTACTACCATTTATAAATCATTTTAATTAACCAAAAAGTAGCACATTAAGATTGAGAGATGGAACAGAAATCATAATTATTTAACAGTAATTTTTTAAAAATAGACAATTACTTTCTTGATATAACACAATTTATTAAAACATGAATTTATATATCATTTTTTTTGCAGTTGTGCGACATAAATTTCTGATCTCATCTAGTGAAATATAGCGTGCATCTATGTACCTCCACCCGATTTGGATATGATAAAAAACAGCCAATAAGAATACATAAATTTTTGATCAACTCGACAAAACAAACCGAAAAATACAAGAAACAAATGTCTAAATCTGGTTCGGAGTACTAATGAAAAATGTCGAAAAGACAATTTTATATATAACCTGGATCACCATCCCTAACCGTAACCCTAACCCTAATTTTAAACCATCCTTTAACCTTAATATTTATTACTGTAGAAATTTCCGAAAAAACGCAATGCTATTGGTTATTTTTGTTATTACCAAATCGGGTAGAGGCAGGATAAAAATTGTGATCTGCCTATAGCATTATGCCAATTTGTGACACCTGCATTGTTATAAAACACAAATATACGCGCGTCTTTTACTAACAAACAAATTCTAGCGCGTCTCTTCTTATTTATAAAAAGGCCGTAAACCATAGAGTTCGATATACGTATTTCTTGTTTTTGCGTTCTTTACTTCTAATAAATCATGTCCACTTCTACAACTTCTTCAAACCGCTTCACTTTGGTCGAAAACTGGGATACCGAGACTCTCATTATTTTCTTACGCGACCTGAATATAAACCTTGATGAGAATGATTTCAAGATCCTTCGTAAACAGAAAATAGATGGTTAAATATTTCCAGATATGACCGAAAAAAAGTTTATGAAGGATGGTATGAAACGGGGAGCTTGAAAAACAAGCTAAGATATTTAAAGATCAAACAAGAGCTCTCGAAAAAGGCAAAATCGAATACTTTTGGCTCTTTCCGTGCGGTATATGGTCTATTCAGCATTTTATATCCTGGTCAACTAATATGTTTGGGCCTACCGAAAGAAACGAGGCACATACGGTATTTTACAATACATTATATACTTTCCGTGATGATCCGATGACCTCACAGGAGATTCTTGAGTCGTAGAAAAAGGTATGCATTTTCTGTTTTGCAGGCCTGAACACGCATTTTTCAGATATGCTATGTTAGGTACAAGAAGCTTTCGCTTGGGGATATACAAGCCCTCGGTTATTGCAGTGCTTTAATATATTCATTCTGTTAGATGTGAGATTATTTGGCGATATTTTTTGATAAAGGTCTACTGTTTCTGGAGGAGGATTCGGTTATGTACCTTCCTTTTGATAAAAGCATACTGAGTAATATTCCGTGTTTGGGCATATTTTAAAATACATGGTCGTTACTTCTATTTTTATATAGGTTAATGGGAAAAAAGGTCGCAAACTTTAGCCGATACTTCTAATCTACAAGAAGAGATAATAGAGAAGCCAGCTTCTCCAAAGTCAGATTCATTAGTTTCTTCCGCTCCTGTCACTAAAAAACGAAGTATTAGCAAAGTTTTAGATGTTTCTGGAGATATCCCATTGCGGGATGATAGTTCTATAAATATTTTGGAGATTTTAAAGACCGCAGTACGTGATTTCGACCAAGGTATAATAGCTCTAGGTTCCTCCCGTTCGTACAAAAGTTCAAATCACTTGTATGTGAACTCCGAGCATTATATCAAAGTTCCAAGGGAAAGTACATATGATGCTGAAATGTACCGGGTCCTAGTAAATTGGTTAAGAAAGGTTCATGGGTACGAAATCACTGGCCAATGGCACCTCGAACAAGTTTGTGATGACGGGGACTACCATCATCTTTATTGCGACCTAACTATAAAGAAGCCTGATAGTCCTCATCTGGAAGCTCTTCTCGAACTATTGGCGACAGCATCGATTCCAAAACTAAACGGTCATTTTGAACAAGTGTTTTAAGTATAAAGAGCAACTTCATCCTCGAGAGATCTGGATCGTACACTTCTCCCGCGAAGATTACATTGTAACCAATCCGCATTGGCCATGTGAAAAGCTTCAGGAGAAGGGGTTAAATGTCATCCATTTCTGGCATGATAGAGAGTTTAAAAATGTGCGGATGAGTGCTAGGTTTCAGGATACTACTGACAGATGTTGTGAAATTATAGATGAGCCTATTCTTTCATAGATGTACTATTATTATTTGTATTAAAACTGACCCTGGTAGTCGATTTCACAAATATATGTTCGTATATTAATAAAAAATTTCTTGGTATTGGGCTGTCGGAAAAATATGAAATTTTTTACTTTTGAATAACATATTAAGCGTGAATAATACTAGACTACATTACGCAACCATGCAATCTGAAATAGATGGTCCTAGTGAGATCGATTCATTGAAACAACGCATTAATGAGCTTGAGGCCGAGAATATTGTGCTTAAGGCTAAGCGAAATAATGAAATTATACGAAGGCAACTTGCTGAAGAAGTAATGGACAGGGTTGTTGATAATCTCCAGCAGTTGCGAACTAATACCAAAATTGGGAAAAAAGAATGTCAGATATTATAGCAAAAAAGCAAACTCGTATTAGTGAATTACTACGAGAAATATTTGCCTTACAACAAATCGTATATCGATGAAATGCCAAAAACACGTGATTTTTTCTTGGCAAATTTCGCTTACGGACCGTAAGGAAAAACACGTGATTTTTTCTTGATCGGAGTTAATATTTTTAGCCGATCTCTCAGATGTGTCGCGATATTGACGCGTAAATATTTCTAGTAGTAATGCTATGGTACTGATATAATAAAGCGATATATTTTTGAATTTCATGAAAATTCCAATTTTTTTGCACAATGTATAAATATATAATGATATTTAATAAGGTGTATTCTGACTTACTAGCTAAATTACCAGCTTCCCTAATAAATGAGGCATGGATACGTCTCATATCACGAAAGCGTAATCCATTATCTGAGATAGAAACCAGTGAAATTAATCCAATTATAGAGTTATTTTTAAAACATGAAGCTATTAGATATCAGAAAATATTAATGCACCAAAAATGAACTCAAAGTTAGTCAGAGTGCCCAACATCATTATTCAAAGTATTACTGGTTACTTATGTTGCAGATAATGGAACCCAAACTGATCATATCACTTGTGATCATGAAGAAGAAAATAATTGCTGGTTATAAATGAGCTTAAAGTATTATCCCAGTATCTCCTTGATTATAATAGAAGAACTTTCGAGAAGTTCATGTGAGATATAGAAAAGAAATATAGAAAGCAAATTAGTGTGAATAAGAAAATGTGATGTGAAAATAAGAATTTGAAGATGCAACTGCAGAAGGTAAAAAAAAGCTAATATTCATAAAATCAGATTCTACTCATTAGTTGAAACACTTTTTTTTAAAAAACTTGATCATATATATCCTATGTGAATACTCACAGAATATAATTAAATTGAAATAATGAATTTTTGCTTATATAATATCTTGTCAACAATCTTAATTACATTATATCAGTTATTAGCATATTAATATATAATTTTGATGTTATAATAATGATCTTTGACAAAATAAGAAACAATTTTCTCCTGCACTTTCTTTGGATTAGTATATATATTTTCAAATATAATTACTATATTCTTGTCTGAAAAATGAATTCATCTTAGGGATTTTATCAAACTTTAAAGCTCAGAATATAATATTTTCACAATATAATTTCAGACTATTTGCAATTATCTGGAATGCTAATTTGAAATACATATATTTCAGCTTCTTGAGTTGGTAACTGATAAATAATAAATCATCATACTTGATATAATGTGTTTCTTCTTTTTGCTTATTCAATAAAGCTTATTTTTGAGCATGAGATTAAAAATCTTATTAGTTTTCTCTGAATTAATACAATCACAGATTAGTAAAGTGAAAATCTATTGTGACATTATCATGAGTTCCGGGTTCATGTAAGTAATCTCGTGATGTAAGTTATAAATGAATATTTTTGCTAATTTCTTTCTATTACATATAATAGGTAATAAGACTAAAGATAGTCTCCTAAATTATTTTTGGAAAAAATGATATTTTAGCAAATAATTCAATTTTGCTATGTTATTTATATTAATGAATACTTAAAAATTATCTAGAAATGCTTGTTTTGATTTGTAGAATCCAAATAATTTCAGAAAATAATTTTGGCTACTAATAAAATAAGTCAAAATAATTTTGAATTTAATTTTAACAAGTTAATTTTGGTAAATTATTTAATTAGATGACATCATTTTAGCAATTATTCTTAATAAAGACAAGTATAAAAAAATTATAGATTTTATCATGCTTTCTCCTCTTTCACCTCATTCTTCTACATATTAATTTGCTCTATCTAATTATTTATTATTTAGTAATAAAATGAAAATTAATAATATTGAATGTCCTTTATTATTAACTCAATTTTCATTTTCAATTATTCAAGCATTAAATAATAAAAAATCTTTGATCTATGAAAAATTCAATTATATAATAAAATATTCTAAACAAAAAAATTGATAGTATATATTATCTTTATCAATTTTTAGATAAACAAACCAAATTAATTAAAAAGTTAGTTATCATTGATAAATTATCTGAAAAATTCTGGAAAGTATTTATTTTTGATTATTTTCAAAGTCAAAAATTAATTTACAAGATTTACTAAAATTCTTTTTTTATTATTCTATACAGCAAGCATATAAGAAGTTAATTCTTATAATTTTCTTTCCAAACCTTTAAGAAGTATTGACAAATGCTAGAGAAATATTTGGTAAAAAATATCAAAGATTATATTAATAGTATAGATTATAATATATGAATATTCATATTCACAGAGCAATACAATTATTAAATTTATTATAAATTATATAAATTTATAAATTTTTTACTAATTATTTTTATTTAATAATTTTAGATAAGAATAAAATACTGTAATAAATATAATAATTACATTTTCACTATCTGAAATACTATCTTTTTAACATTCAATAAAAAAAATTTAGTAAGAGTCAATAATAATACTTCTTTTATTCATCTTACTGAATAAAAAAAATAAAAAAACTCGAAATACGTATAAAAATTTCTTTTTCAACAATAAATTGCTCACAAATATTGATTATATAATATTTAAATAATATAAAAAGAAAGTGTTGCTGATAATGCATTGTATATTTATTATCTGTAATATTTTCCTTAGTTCATCAAGTTCAGAAATCAAATACAAAAATAAGTCAGTAGCAAGATGTGTTCACATATTTATAATAAGTAATATTTTGAATTTGCTTAAAATTTATATTAAAAATTATTTATACAGTAACAATCAAAAAGAATGGAATGCTAAAACAAATTTATTAATAAAATATAGTAAAAATATGAAAAATGTAAGTTTTTCTCTTTATATAAAAGTTTTTTATCTTACTAATAAATATTTTTTATTTTTATATTAAAATAAAGATAATATCACATATTTTAACATATATTTTTTTCAGATT